AGTTTAAAATGTTTTATATTACTTTATTTGAGTTCTCTGATTATTTTATTGGGATTATTGAGGTTGTGCATAATTTTATTAGAATTACTAATTTTTAATTATTTAAATAATAGAGAAACAATAAGAAATTGAGCTTTGGGGAGGAAATTCAAGTTTTTATTAAAAATAAGGGAAAGGTGAATTAACGAGAGTTGAGGGGTGAATGTGAAGTTAATTAAAATAAAATTAGAGATTAGGTATTTATATAAGATGGTAAAGTTGGGAGAGAGTTTTGGTTGGTACGTAGAAATTGTGAGAAGTGGGAGCAAAAACCCTAACATAACTTTTGGATGAGAAACAATGAGAATGATCATGGGAGACAGTTGGAAAGATATCACAAGGAATTAACATGATCAAGCAAAGGATCAACCATCATGATTCCACCAAACATTAAAGTCATTATCAAAACCATTATAATCACTCAATGAATCAAATCGGCACCTACAATTCCTACAAACACATAGATCCACATACACCATCACATACAAGTGTACCTAAAACCAATCATATTATATATCTCTCACCCCTACCTCTTCAATAGACCTAACCGTCATTAAATCAACCTATGTACCTAACACTAGATCTTCTACAATTCAATCACCTAGCTCTAACATGCACTCACAAGAACCATTTGATACTCCACCTTACATGAGTGACACTAATTAATCTAATGAATCCTTATCATCCTTCGTTCATAACATTAAACCATAAGGGCCCTTAGTAAAAAAATGCACATCCTATGCAGACAAGAGGAAAATCAAGTAATTTATGACCAAAGTTTTTTTTTTTGCTTACACTGAACCTAGTTCTGTTAAACATGTTATTTCCCACCCTAATAGTTTTCTGCTATACAACAACCCTTAGACTCTGACCCCATTACCTCCACATAGAAAAGTTATGGGATGCAAATCAGTTTTCAAAGTTAAAAAAAACCTTGATGGAAGTATTAACAAGTATAAATCTAGGGTAGTTATGAATGAGTATCACCAACAATAATGATTTGACTTCAATGAACATTCTCCCAGATGGTAAAGCCTACTACAATTTGTGTCATCATTACTCTAGTTTTTACTTACAAATGGGAACTTCAAATAGACATTAACAATGACTTCTTGAATGATATACTACAAGAAGATGCGCTTATGCAACAACCTTTTGCGTTTGCTACTAAGGATAAGTTTTTTGTGTGCAAAGTGGACAAGGCGCTATATGGCCTAAAACGGACCCCAAAGGCCTAGTATTAGAAATCCACTCAGACACTTATTAGGTTTTGGTTTACACACATCAAGTGTGATCATTTACCGTTTATTTATTCCTCTCTAGGGACTAACATTCATACCTTGGTTTATGTTAATGACATCCTCATCATTGGCCTCTCTTATAACCTTATTCATGATCTCATAACCAAACTTCATACACATTTTGCTTTGAAAAAGCTTAGAAACTCGCCTTATTTTCTTGACATCAAAGACAATCACTAACTGAATGGTTTTATGCTACTAACTCATTAAATACATTCGAGATATATTGTCAAAAGCACATATGAATGATGCTAATTGGATCCTACTTCAATGCTTAGTACCTGGTGGTTGAGCAAACATGACACAGATTTCTTTCAGGGTTTTCATTTTTACATATTCATTATAGGAGCTCTGCAGTATCTGACACTAACAATACCATGTATAATTTTTTCTGCCAATAAAACCGACCAATTTGTGGCTTCTCTTCTTGAAAGTCATTGGCTCACTATTAAAAGGATACCTAAGTATTAAAGTGGCAATTCCACACATGACGCGTTTCTCATACCTGCATCTCTAAATCAATGATTCACTCCTAATGCATATGATGACTAAGATTGGGCAAGTGATACTACTGATAGGAGATCAACATCTAACTCATATATTTACTTTGGTCCAAATTTAGTATCTTGCAAAAATCCTCAGTAGTAAAATCAAACACTGAAGTAGAATATTGTGGCATAGCACACAACTTTTGATTTGCTTAGTCTTGAAGTAGAATATTGTGACTTGACAAACAACTTTTGATTTGCTCAATCTTAAATATCTTATAACTAAACATCACATATCATTTCTACCTCCCACAATTTTGTATGATAATCTAAGTGTTGTTCTACTGTCTCAAAATCCACTTCTTCATGCAAGAACTAAATAAATACATTGAGTTTTGAGCTTGACGTACACTTTGTCAATAATATTAATAAAGAACACCAAGCATGTGTTTACCACAAAAAAGATGAATGTCAAGTATGTGTCTACCACTGCCGTAACGGCAGACACACTCAATAAACCATTGGGCATTTTAAGAGCTCAGAATCAAGCATAAAATGGCCTATGTCAAACCACCCTAAATCTGTGGAAGGTAATTGAGTAACACTTGATATAATTTGTTAGATTTTGTTACCAATCGATTCAAACTTGTGTAACTAACTTCCATTGTATTAGAAACTGTATAAAAAGAATTGTTGAAATTTTGTTGAGTTGAAAAACTGAATTATTTTGCCATAGAACCCAATCACTCCATTTCCTCCCAACAACTACTTTATTCAAATTATTCATTATTAATCCATTTGAATATTTTAAGGATAATGCTAAGAGCATCTTTAGTGAGAGTATCTTAAGTGGGTAAACTAAGATATTTTTTGTGGATCCAAAGTGATTTGTAGGATTTAAAAAATTTATAGTTGATTTGATTTGTTTTTACTTTAATGATAGTTGCTTATAAAAAACTAAAATTTAACCCTATATTTTATATTTTTTAATTGTAAATTTTTTTATAACCGTTATAATTTTCAAAAAATATATGACCGTTGTTTTCAAAAAATTAAAGATTTTAATAATATAAATAATAATATTATATGTTTTAAAATAAATAGCATACGTTAGCTGTATAATTGTCGGAAACTAAAAGTTAGTGAATTAAATGTCATGTCATAGTCATTCCAATGCAAATTCTTTATAATCGTCGTTAACTATAAAAAATTTAACTATTAAAAACATGCATTAAAGATGTTCTAAGACATATGCCAAAAGCTAAATATAAAAGTATTTATTTTAAAAATTATATACTGCTTTTATTAATAAAATTTAATTAATTTTTTATTACTTGTTTTAAAATCAATTTTTTATTTATAATTTTTTTAATATCTACCTTTAGAACGGTCTTTAAGGTATATGTTAGAATTATTTTAATTATTCTTAAAATGAGGTAATGCTAAAATGTTAACATTACCTATATTTTAAATTTATTTTATTCTAAATTGAATTATTTCAAAATAAATATAGATTTAAATATAATTTTTAGGGTAATGCTAACTTGTATCTTAATGGCACAAGTTAAGAGATAAATATAAAAAATAATTTTTGGAAATTGTGTAATAAATTTAATACAATCTTTTAATTAATAATTTTAACATGTGCCCCAAGGGTATAAGATAGCATTATCCATTTTACATTAGTGTTTGTTATATAATTAATGGTTAATCGTATAAGTTGAGAATTAGTAGAGAAAAATTATATATTAATTATGATAAAAATTAAAAACTAATTATTTTTATTGCTTTTTTTCAATACAAACATTAAGTAGATTTTTTAATTTATAACTCTAAGTAGGGGTGAGAATAACAGGGCTTATGGCCTAATCTACGTAGACTTTTTTTTTAAAATAGAAAAAACATAGATTTTTTTTATAAATCTATTTAGCTAAAAGGTACATACCATAAAAAAAAGTCTTTTAAACCTATCAACCTGTCATATTTATAAAAAATTCAATAAATTTATTATTATTATATTGTATTTTGTATTTTGAATTAAAATACAAAAATAAAGCTTAATTATTTTGAACAACTTATAAAAATAAGTTGAAAAAATATTATAAACAATGTTATAAGTTGTTGTCATAATTTTTTTTCTATAAGTTATATCTAACAAATAGTATTACCAAACTTATGCTAATATATAAACTTGAAAACAAATATTTAGTCTTAATAATCTTTTAATTTGTCATCAGATGAATTTCTTATTTATAAATGTGCAAATGAAATAGGCTTTTAAATAGACTAGTAGATCAATCATTCTTTCGAAAAGGTTTAGACTTACGCTTAAAAATAAGTCTATAATAGACTATATGACTTAAGTTTTAAATATTTTAACAAGTGCTTGACAAAACTTAACTCAACCTAGCCTATTTACACCCTTATAATTAATTAATTCAGAAAATTTACTGAGTTTCTTTTTAATTTAAATTTTGTACTTTTATTTTTAAATAATTCTTAGACGTTAAGATTCTCATAATTTTAATTTTAAAGTTAAAATCAACATAGTCCTACATATTTTAAATTTAAATCTTTAAATTAAAACAGTTTTAAAATTCAAAAATTATTTTAAAAAAATATAAAAACAAAATTAAAAACTCATAAATAAAAAATATATATAAAAAAGAACAATAAAATTATTAATTATAAAATTGTATTAAATTTATTATACAATTTTTAAAAATTATTTTTTATATTTATATTATTTTTTATATTTATCTCTTACCTTGTGCCCTAAGTTAACATTACCCTATAAAATTACTTTTAAGTTTGCATGCGCATCATCGAGTTAAAATGAAAAGCAGCAACAAAAACCTGTAAAGCGCGAGCACAACCATGCTCACCATTCTCTCAACTGTTCTCTCTCGCGTTCCTTTTCGTTCAAAATAAAAACCTCGCTGATTTTCCCACTGATTCATTGCAAATAACAACTCAATCAGGTACTTTGTTATTTTCGTATTTTCATTTTCTTTTTCCGTTCCTAATTCCACTTTCTAGGTTTTCTTCATTCTATCTCCATTGCAAATTTTTTAATCACTTCCTAAAACTTGCCTTAGAATTGCTCAATTACTTTCACTGCTGAAAATAATTTCATTTTCTTTTATCCTTTTCATGATTTTTAGGCATTACAATGTCCAATTCAGAGACGAAGATAGTTAAACTCAGTGGTAGTGAACTTATAGACATGCTTAGCGATTTACCAGATTGTGTTATCCTTCACATACTTTCGTTTTTAAACACCAAAGACGCGGTTCGAACATGTATTCTATCGGTAAGATGGAAAGATCTGTGGAAACGGCTTCCTGCTCTTATACTCTATAGTTCACACTTTGGAACTATCAAGATATTTGCCAAGTTTGTGTCGAAGGTTTTATCTCTTCGCGATTCCTCTGTCGCGCTGCAGTCTTTTGATTTCTATGATAATTGTTGCTTGGATCCTCGGCTAATCAAAAGGGTTGTGAATTATGCTATTTTGCACAATGTCCATCGATTAAGTCTCTCAGTGCATTGTAACATTGAACAAATTCCGCCGAGTATCTTTTCATGTCAGACTTTAACGTATCTTAAGCTTTCTCTTTACCCTAGAAGTGGTCACGAGAACAAAACATTGTTTCCGAAATCTCTTGATTTGCCCTCATTGACTAGTTTGTGTCTGGGGAATTTTGTGTTTTGTGCGGATGATGATGGACGTGTCGAGCCATTTTCGTCTTTTGACCGGTTGAATAGTTTGGTTCTTCAGAGTTTTACTGTCAGGGGTGGGTTGACCCTCTGCATATCAAGTGCGACGCTTGTGGATTTGACTTTGATTAATCACTCTTATGATTATTTTGAAATTGAGCTTTGTACTCCAAGTGTTTGTACCTTTGCTTTTATCGGTAGGCCGCATCAGAAAGTCTTTGGGAGTGGTCTTTCTTATGTTAAGCATGTAGATATTGATTCAGAAGTTTTGTGTTTTAATATACAGCCTCCTTTGTTACTACTAAGCTGGCTGTTACTTCTTGATAATACAAAATCGTTGACGGTCACTGCAAGTACTCTTCAGGTACATTACATTGTTACATTTGTTTTGACATGTTATTTTCACAAAATTAATTGACTTTTGCGTAAGGCTGATTTACTCTCCTACCTCATTGCTTAGGTTCTCTCCTTAAATTCTAATTTATTGAAGACCGAGTTTCTTTCCTTGGGTAACTTGAAGTTATTGAAAGTAAAAATAAAACCACTTATCTATGGATTTCGCCAGAGACTGATTGAAGCCAAGTTAGAGAAAATTAAACCACGGAAAGAAGCTGCTAAGTTACGAAAATCAATTAAAGCAGGTTTGGAACCATTTGCACCCATACCTGATGGAATAGTGGATTTCTTGACTCAAAATTCGCCATCAGCTGAAGTTGAAATCATTGACTGTTCGTGGCGGTAAAGGCGCATAATTACATTGGTTGAGTAATGAAAGGTAACATACTTGTTAAAACTTGTTAGCTATGGAAGACAATGTTCAACAACAGAATTTGATGGATGGATATATTTCATATATGTAGGTTGCATAAATTTGTTTCAGAATGAGTTATTGTGGAATACTCATTTGGCGGGCACTATTGTTGTAGGATTGTGACAATATGTTTTTAGTTGGGGTGACCACTATGAATACAAAAACAATCCTTAGTGGAGAAAGTTGCAATGGTATTCTGGACATATAGATTTGACTAGAGCTAGAACAATATCAAAACTGTTTTTGTAGCCAACTAGTTTTTCAAAATACCTAAGCATGTGGCTGTATCACTTTTGTGAGGGAGAGTTGCCTTCTCATTTGCATCTTGCTTAGTTTAATCATTTAAAGTCTTGACTTGATGAAGCTACACATAATCAGCTGAAGTTGCTAGAATCTAAGATGAAAGGTAACTTTGTTTTGCTAGTCTTTGATGATCTAGTGTTCTTTTTCATTACATGATTATGTTTGAGCTGATCCATGTTATGTATATACTTGACAAAGGTTTCATTTGATGTATTCATTTGATGTTTTATCTATCATTATGAAGCTTTGTTGTATTATGTTTGGACTTGGTATCCTGTTTGAGCAGTGTTTGAGCAGCACTTTTAAGAGGTGCGCAAATAATTTATTTGCTGTGTTGGGAAAAGTCGTTGTTTTCTATGATTGCTAGTTACTTCAGAGGTATAGAAATTAAATTTAACTTTGTGGAAAGATTAAAAATTTCTTAGTTAATGTAACACATCAATTTTTTTCTTCTTCAATAAGTACTAATTGAATTAGTATTACAAATTAACTAACATTGAAGACTTTCAATCTTATGATATATTCACAACTCACACAACTACATATATAGGTGCTCCATCTAAGTTCATTTAACCTCAATTGAATTATATCAATGAAACTTTAAATAGAGTTTATGGTACATTTGTTAATGGAAGAATCTTGTAGATAAGGGTTGAGAAACACTTTTTTAAACACTTTGAGATTGAGTGATTCATATACTAAGATAAGGAGAAATTGAGTCATAAAGTGGTAGAAATTAATTGTTCTTAAGAACTTGTTGAGATGATTTTTATAATGTATAACTTCTTTTTGAGACTCTTGATTTGTAATGGACCATATAACCACCCTCTTTCTCATAGTAGATCATTTTATATCAAATTAAGTAAATAATTTACGTTGGTTCTTATTTTTATCTTGCTTTTTATTATTGTGGTCTATCTTTCACATTAGTTGGTAGGTTATTATTGCCCAAAACTATTCAGATTTTGGTTGTCATTATTTGTGTCCCACACATCAAATTCTTGGCATGTTTGGATTTTTTTTACAACAAATGACGCCCACAAATGAGAAAAATGAATTAAGTTTAGAAGTGAACACCATAAGTTCTAAATAGAGCATTGAGAAGTTTTCTAGAGACAACAATTTTAGATTGTAAAAAGGAAAAATACAAACAATTTTAATTCAACAAAAGTGTGCGGAAACATTGAAAAGTGAGACATTGATGGTGACAAGCCTAATACAAGCGGACAAAGTTGGCATGGTACATAAGGTCAGGAGGGTAATTAGAGATAATGCTTTAAGGGGTGTCGCAAAGGATATGATCCAATGGAAGGTGTGAGTGAAGTTTGAATCATTTTATTTGACAAAGTTCTTTGTCTCATAGATTGTGTGAAATTTGAATCATTGTATTTGACAAAGTTCCTGGTCTCATAGATTGTGTATGAAGTAACAATTTTATTTATTTTGTATAGTGGGAACAACTCTATTGTGGAAAAATGGACAAAAATTTTACAAAATTATTGATGACTTGCAAAATATTGAAGTCAATCTTGATGATTAGGACAATGTTTTACTTTTGTTGAGCTTATTATCTAAATCTTTTGAGTACTTCAAGGATGATTTTCTTTGTGCTAAGGAATACACTATTACCTTTGAGGAGGTCCAAATGGTGATAAGAACCAAGAAGTTAACAAAGATAAAAGAGTTGAAGGTCGAGGATAATGAAGAATGCTTGAATGTTTCAAGAGCGAGGAATAAGAGCAAGGTAAATCGAAATGGGAAGAAATTTAAGGGTAGTTCAGGTTCAAGGTTTTTGATAATTTGAAGTACAAATGTTTCATTTGTCATAAAATCGTTTACCTCAAGAATGATTCTCTCGAGAAGAGGCGCATAGATGATTCTGTTTAAAGTATGGTTGCTGAGATAAAGATGATTATAAGAGTTTTGTTGTGCTAGTGGTAACAAATTTGAAAACGCAAAAGAGTTGGGTCATAATTTTGCATGCTCTCATCACATATATCTATGAAATAAATGAAAGTGGAGTCATTTGAATCAGTTACAAGTGGGAATTGCAATAAATCGATACCATAAGCTTTTTCTCTCGACAGTCTACTTGAGGAAGAGATTTATATGCAACAACAATCTCTTGGATTTCTTAATACTTATAAGACTTTAGTGTGTAAGTTACACAAAGCCCTTTATGGTCTAAAGCAAACACCAAGGAAGTGGTACGACAAGCTGCATGAAGCTCTTTTTAAATTTGGATTCATTACAAGCAAGTGTTCTTATTACCTCTTAATATAGTTTCATCAAGGCATCACTTTATATGTTATAGTTTATGTAGTTGATATCCTCATTATTGGCTCATCTCCTAAGCTTATACATGATTTGATATTCAAAATAAATCTCAAGTTTACATTGAAAAAGTTGGGCAGAATCACATACTTTTGTGTCTCAATCCAAATATATCAGAGACTTACACCGAAAAGTTCATATGGTGGATGTCAATCAGGTGCCTACTCCAATGCTTGACACTTATAAACTAAGAAAAAATGGTTCTGATATCTTTTCTAACCCTCATCAGTAGTGGTAAGTTGTTGGCGCGGTACAATATGTGACACTTACCATAATAAATATTTTCTGTAGTGTAAACAACACCTGTCAAATGTGGCTAACTCTCTATTTATCATTGGTTTATAGTTAGATAATTGAATGCCACAATTCCCTTTGTTTTGTCATTAGTTTATAGTTAGAAGGATACTTAGGTATTTGACTGGCACAATTCACTTTGTTTTGTCTGTTATGTCTACCATTTCTAACAACAGGTTCTCTCTTAAGACTCATTGTTGGTGCGGTACAATATGTGACACTTACCATACTAAATATTTTCTATTGTGTAAACAACACCTGTCAGATGTAGCTAACCCTCTATTTATCATTGGTTTATAGTTAGATAATTGAATGCCACAATTCCCTTTGTTTTGTCATTAGTTAATAGTGAGAACGATACTTAGATATTTGACTGGCACAACTCACTTTGTTTTGTCTCTTATGTCTACCATTTCTAACAACAGGTTCTCTCTTAAGGCTCATTGTTGGTGCGGTACAATATGTGACACTTACCATACTAAATATTTTCTATAGTGTAAACTGTCAGATGTAGCTAACCTTCTATTTATCATTGGTTTATAGTTAGATAATTAAATGCCACAATTCCTTTTGCTTTGTCATTAGTTTATAGTTAGAAGGATACTTAGATATTTGACTGATACAACTCACTTTGTTTTGTCTCTTATGTCTACCATTTCTAACAACAAGTTCTCTCTTAAGGCTTATAGTGAGAGATTGGGCTAGCAACACTAATGAAAAAAGTTTTGCTTCATATACAGACTCTACCATATACCACATTTAACTTCGTGCGTGCGTGTGCACACGTGCGTGAGTGTGTGTGCGCGCGCGCGCACGTGCGTGTGTGTACGTACATACGTGTGTGTTTATATATATATATATATATATATATATATGCATACACCACCTTTACACTCTTATAGATATGAGTGCATCTTTTCATTTAGTTATGTTTTGAATGATGTCAAAGCTAAGAAATACTTTAGCATTTTTGTATATTAGACGGTATCAACCAAATTATAGATGTGCATTTATCATATTAGCATTAGGTTGCATATAAATATGTTTGAAAATGATTGAAAATGAACTAAGCAAGGTCCATGCATTTAAAAGTGAGTTTCTAGTGTGAAAACAACTATATAGGCCGATACATACGTGTTTAGGTCGACCTATACAAGTTTTTTCTTCCGCATAGGTCGACACATAAACCACTTAGGTCGACACCCATGCTCCAACAAAGAAACCTGTAGCCACAACATATAGGTGCCGACACATACGTGTTTAGGTCGACCTATACAAGCTTTTGTTTCAGCATAGGTCGACACATAGACCACTTAGATCGACACCCATGCTCCAATAAAGAAACCAGTAGCCACTACCTATAGGTCGCCTCAAATAGGATGACCCGAGACCTTCATATGTCGATCTATAGACTAAAAATTTTGAAAAATTATTTTCATTTCAATTCATCATGCATACCATTTGCTTCATATATATATATATATATATATATATATATATATATATATATATATATATATATATATATATATATATATATATATATATATATATATATGCGTCTTATTCTAGCAAGGTTTTAGAGTAAAACCTATACGAAATCAAAATTTCAAAACACACATCATTTTTAACCTATCTTCTACGCACACACATAATTATTTTTTGATTGGGTGACCATCTAGATTAGGGTTAGTAACGTCCAATTAGGTTGGTGTACCGAGAATATTAGGTTGAATTCTTTGAGGGTTTCAAATAAGAAAACTGAGTTGGGGTTTTCCTTCAAGATCATTGAGAATTTGAAGGTTTCGAACAAGATTACGCAATTCGAATTTGATCGAGTGAAAGCCTTGGGACAAGTGTGCGTTTAGGATTAATTCGACCGTGTGAAAGCCTTGGGACAAGGTGGTTCCTTGCAAGAAAGTGACAAGAATTGGTGAATTGAAGCGGCATTGTTGGTAACATGATCAATCTTTAATCAAGGGTTTTAGAAGTAATAGAAT